CAAGGTAAATTTTAATTATGTAATCAATTTTTGCATGGTTTAATTAATAAGATTGCAACATATGATGCGATGTAGGAAACAAAGGAGAAATGTACTAATTAGAAGTTGAAAGTATACAAGTATATATATAACATAAATGATGGCAAATGCAAACCCCTGAAATTTAATTACCTCTCAGATAAGGGCAGGAAGAGATCTATCCAAAAAAATAGAAAAAAAAGTAAGGATAAATTTCACTTTTAAATCTTTAATTGGTATAAATGACTCATTATTTAGTGACTGCCATGTAATAATGACTGATGGCATCGTACATCAATTTTCAGTAATAAACATACTTAAATAACAAATATATTCTTGACATGTGATGACATAGTTAACTATTAAATAATAAGTAATTTATTTTTATCAACATTACAATTTATGTTTATTTTTTAAGGAATGGATCTATCCTACCTTATTTGGAGGGAGGGATTTGAGAGTTCAGCCATGACAAATTAGTAGCTTGGTTAATTATTGAGTAGAAGTTGTGAGACTACTGATGATATCCCTTGCAAAGGAAAGGGTGGAACGGTGGTTGACTCCATCTCCAAGTATACTAATACATATCTAGAAAATGATTCGTACACTTTCGGTTTAACACATTTTTGATACATTTTTTGTTCAATTATTAAAAATATAATATAAATACAGTCAATTCAATCAGTTCTTATATCATAGTACATGATTATATTTTTAAATTTATCTACTTTTAATTTCAGACTAAAAAATAATAATTTTTTAATGAATGTGTTATGCAATATATTGAACTAGAATGTGTATCAATCACGCACACACAAAAAATGCATATCAGTCTTGACTTCCAAAATAATAGGAGTCCTAACCTTAACTATGTCATTTTATTTATTAAAACTTAATTCAAAATTTTAAAAATTATTTTATTAAATATTGATATTTACATTTAGATGTAAGGTGTCGACACCCAGAAGAAGTGTCGATACCACACTCGTGACGGGAATTCTGCTACCATTTGCATTCTCCAGCAATCTCCCTGTTTAGGTCCACAAACCACACCCGACACACCCACTGACCCACAAGCCATTGATCATGCATTGACTATAGCTAAGATCCACTACAGTCAATGATTGCTCAATAAGCCTACATGAGCCCCCATTACACAGCACCTTAATCCTTCGAGACAAAACTCAAATAGACCTTCCACTTATCACCATTACCCTCCCTCCCACATATTATTTATATGGTACCCTTCTTTTCCTACGGCCATCTTCCAAGCATGCCACTGGGTTAAGAAACCAATCCGTTAAAGTGAAGGCGTACCTTTCTTTTTTTGCTATGCTCCAATGGAACGACTTTAATTGGATTAGTTCTAGCAGCTTCTCCCTGTTAATCTCTTTGCCTTGGAATGTTTTTTTGTTTCAAGCCAGCCATATTGTCCACACAAGAGCATTCCAAATGCAATCCCACCCTTCTCTACTACCTTTCTCTTTTAGTTCTCTTCCAGCCACTTGAAAGGTATTCCAGCAGTCCGCTCCCAAAGTAATATTAATACCCCACCATTTTGCACAAGCCATCCATATCCATCAGACCATACTACACTCCAGAAACAGATGCTTTGTGTCCTCTTCTTCCTCACCACATAATCCGCATTTGCAGTCTTGATTGTCTTTGATGATCCCTCTTGTCATCAGATTCATTTTAGTTGGAATCCTGTCAAGTAGTAATTGCCAGTTGAATGCTGAAATTTTGCTTGGCAGAACAGAATTCCAGATTCTACAGAAGGTTGTAATTTCCGTTGCTTCCCTCCCCTCTTTCGCCAATATTGAGTATGCTGACTTTGTTGAGTATTGGCCATCCTTGTTGTGTATCCACTCCCACTTATCCATACCTCCTTGTGACGGTTGCACATTTTGAATCGAGTTGTGTAATTCCATTGCTTCCTCCTTTTCCCATTCGAATAAATTCCTTCTCCATGTTAAGTTCCACTCCCACAAACCGCTAGTTCTACTTCCCATTTCACTGCACATCTTTGTCTTCTCTGTAGCTAACAAGTACAGTCTTGGAAACATATTAGCTAGACACTCTTCTCCCCTCCATTTGTCCCACCAGAAATTGACCGTATTACCCTCCCCGATCTTAACCCTAAAACCCTCTTTTAGCCATCCATTGCTTTCCCCATCCATTGCATTTATATCACACACATCCCTCCACCAAGTTGATCCTACTCCTCTACTTTCATCTATCCAATCCTGCCAATGCCCCCCTCCCTTTCCATATTTTGCAACAATAATTTTTTTCCACATGCCCTCCCCATTTTCTGCAAGCCTTCCCCACCATTTTCCCATCAATGCCAAATTGAATTTCCTCAAATCCCTCACTCCTAAACCTCTTTCCCCTTTTTTTTTTACACACTTTATCCCAGCCAATCCAATTTATTTTTCTCT